AGAGGGAGTGAAAGAAAGGGAAAGAAATGGAGATATACACAGAAACACACAGTCATGCGCGTGTGCGCACACACACACGCCCAGAGAGAGAAAGATTCATTCCCTTTTAAGATGTCATTTAAAGATCTCCTTTATTTAATGTTTTAGGGGATTATGGTACTAAATATTTTGGGATAGGTAGATGATGCTCTTTAAATCACTAACTGAACAATGATGAAAATCCAGGCTAGTGTTTACTTTTAATTCTGCAATAAGCATAAAATTCTATTCAGAGAAAAAAGAGTAGCCAACCCGTGTCTGTGAAGTCAATGAGATGGCAATACCACTGGGATATAACTAAAAATTTTCTTTTCCAGCTTGAACTACAGAACATTAATTTTCATGTGGCTTTTCCGTTAATTAGGTCAAGTTTTCTGTAAGTTTTGCTAATACTGGAAATATAGACTCAAATAAGCTAATATTATACAATAAACTTTAATGGATGCTGTGCAATAGGATTGTTTCCTGGTTGTATTTATTCAGTACTAAAGGAATACTTAAGGTCATTTTATATAATTTAACTCATTCTGGAGTACACTGCAATGGATTAGAATCAATCATGGTATGATAGAGTCAAAAGCAGCTAAAATATCAAGAAAATCTGCTACGAGGTTATGAGAGGGTCAATATAATTATTATTCAATCTTAAAAATATATACAAATCTACATTTTAAGATAAGTCAAATATTCCATGGAATAATACTGTATTAAGCTATTAACAGCCAAGATCTTTAAAGTTGAAAATGTATATATTTTTTATTTAGTTTTTTTTTGGGGGGGAGCATAATTAGATTTATTTATTTGTTTATTTTTAGAGGGAGTACTGGGGATTGAACCCAGGACCTCATGCATGCTAAGCATGTGCTCTACCACTTGAGTTATACCCTCCCCCCCGAAAATGTACGTAAAGAATAATTGTACCAATAAAATATAATATAAATTATAGATGTTATAAAAAAGAGCTCCTTCAAAAAGAAACAGAACCGATTATTCTTAATTATTAGTATAGTGGCACAAATATTTGGGAGTTTTTAACAATTCAAACCAATTTAAGTTTGTTTTGAAAATCTGGTTTTATTTGTGACTTAAGCATCTGAGCTTTAAAAATGTTTCATTATCTCAAACCAGCCTTAATGAAGAAGCCCTACTTCTCTATGTAACAGTCTCATCCTAAAATATCTAGTCTTGATCATTCCTTCCTTGGTTCCCGTTACAGGTCTTCAAACCATGAAATATAAAGATGCATCTGGGAAATTTAGCATTCATGCAGGTGTGTGCTCCCAATACATACCTACAATATTCAGTATCAGTCAAGTGTTTTAAGTAGTCTCTTCTAATTAAGCAGAATTGTGTGAGCAGACTCTTCCCTGAAGAAAGAACCTCTTTGTAAAATAGCCACCTCTGCAGTAGTTAGGCCTTGTAATGTTGCAACACTTTTTATTTTTATGCCTTTCATAATTCCCTGTTGCCATTCATTGAGATTCAAGTCTTGAGCACTTAAAATGAGGTTACATCAGGGGAGTTCTGAAGATGGTTGAGGGATATTTTTTCCCCAAGACTTGCTTTTGAAATCAGCTTTACAATATTTTATGTTATTTATTTATCTTTTCAGACATAGACCAATCTTTCATAACATCCTAAAATGTTTACTACTAGACAGAACTTACTTGATTTGACCTGGTTGTAAAAGTGTGCTTTTATATCAATTATCAAAAAAAAAAATCACAACCCTCTTTTTATAATATTCTTCTTGTATTAAAAGCAACAATTAAATATTTCTCATCTATTTGTAAAAGAATGATGCCATTTCTTTACATGTTCCATTTTTTCTTAATCATTTTTTATTTATTTACAGTACAGAAATCAAAGTAAGATGTATAATCGTACCTACCAGGGGTTTTAGCACAGCTGAAATTTCAGTGACGTAGTCAAACTGGAATCCTATATTCCAATTAGTTCTCAAGTTTGCCATCAATGGCCTTTTATTTCCCATTATTGTTAGTCATAATGATTTTATACTTCCTTCCTCTATTAATTTCATTCTCTAAAGAGAGATTAAAGTCCATCCAATGCAGAGAATAAATTTGTTTTCTTCAGGTGCCAACTAATTTCACTCTTTGATCTATTAAGTCATTCATTCACTAATCATTTGTACTGTGATGGCCACAGCGATTAAGTTTCTACCATCTTTGTAAAGTAAATCACCAGGGAAAGAAGTGAGTTTTATTCATACTCTCATCCTCCTACTTCTCTTTCTTTTACTCTTTCACTTTCATTGACTCTTTTGACCTGTCAAACCAAGTTGTACTGAAACACACTGAAAATGAACCGTTTTATATTAATATCTATGTCTCTTCAATATGCATGGTGAAGTATTAATTCAGAATAATTACTAACCATTTACAATCAACAAGTCAATCATCAATAGCAAACTCACGGTCGTGGTGGTGGTTGATCTCAAAGTTAACTCTTCTGTGATATGCTTTGTACTTTTCCCAGTGTGCAAGAGGTATTCAATAAGTGGTTGCAGAAAGAATGTGTCAACCTCTCCAAATTTCAGAAATGTTCTATCTACTTCTGTTCCCTTGTCTGTTCTATCATCAAAGGAAATTAAATTGTCTCTCACTCTTTTTTTTTATAACAAAGCTGCTTTGCTTATTGCCCAGGAACTGTTCTAAATGGTTGACAATCTATTGTTTAAAGATTTGTCCATCTTCCCTGAGTTCAGTGAGAGTTGAGAGTATTAACTGGTAAAATACTCATTTTACTTCTAACTTTGGGCTCTAAAAAATTCTTGCCTGATATTTGGTATCCCCTCCTATTTTGCATGAATTATGAAAAATACTGCCTAATGACTTTGGAATGAGATTTCCAATTCTCGTATTTCACATCAACAAAGCCTCCTTATTTGAATTTACATATATATTTTAAATATTCTGCAAGAATTTTCTTTTGTGTTGTAGTTTGGCTTAGGGTTACTCTGGATTTAAGGTTTCCAGTTAACTGGTCATACCTAAATATGACTGATTGATTACTTATATCGGAACTTTAGAGGCCCTGTTGCTGTATGTGAAATCAAAGGAAAATACAAAAAAGAAAAAAGAAAAAAGTGCCAGTTGAGGCTTAGTTTTTTTTTCCCTATTTCAACCACATTTTTCTCATATAGGTTTTTGCTTGCTAGATGGAAATTTTTATACCCATTATGGAAGTAAATAAGCATCTATTCATTTCCAGTTCTTAGAAATATAAGGTACTACAGAATTTAAGGGAAAAAACTCTATAGATATCTATACAGAGAACACATTATGAAATTCTGAGCTCTCATACATTTTTTCACTTCTATATATACTTACTCTAATTAGAAGTTTTTTTCTTAAACTGTAAGGGTTCATAGAAATCATCTAGTTTAAATATATCATTTTAAGGAAATGGTTCAGACATACAATTTGTATGTAATATTACAAACACCTGTGTAGTCAAGATTTGGCTTGAGAAATAAAGCACAGAACATTTGACTGAAATTCCCCATGATGTCTTTCTAATTTCATTAACTGCAATTCATCCCAGATGACCTATACCCTGAGTTTCATGTTTATCATGATCATGTATGCTTATATACTTTTGCTACATTGCATAAGCTCAAAAATAATAGATACAATTATAATTAAATATATTAATATGGTAATGTTTTAAAACTTGATATATATATGTATGTATGATCCCACAAGGATCTTTCTGCAAACTGCTTTTGTTGTTGCTGTTCCGCATTGCATTTTTGAGATGCATTCATGCTAATTCAAGTAGGTATAGTGCATTCATTTTTCTTCTTACTGCATCTAATATTGCAGTATATGAATGTTCTATAAATTTCTTGTTCACTTGCGTATCCAAAGATGTTTTTCTTTTTTCTCTTTCAAGTAATTCTGCAGTGAATATTTTCTGTACATGCCATAGAGACGTAGAATATAGGAGTCGAGAGGTTGGATTCTGGGACAGGAGAATCTTTATCACTAAACTGCTCTCTGAAATTGCACTATTACACGTTCCTCATGGTTTCTCCGCACCCAATCAATATTTCATATTGCTGGACCTATAAAATTTTGTCAATTTCTTAGTTGTGAAATGATATTTCATCATTTTAACTTGCATTTCTCTAATAACTAGGGAAATTGAGTACCTTTTTCAGATGTTTATTGAACATTGAGAATCCTCTTCTATGACTGTTCCTCTTGTTGGCTTATTTTTTTCTATAATTTTTTTGTCTTTATAAATTTATAAGAAATCTTTATGCACTTGGATACTAATCCTTCTTTGGTTATGCAACCAAAGATATTCCACGGCAAATATCTTTTCTCAGTCTATGCTTTGACTTTTTTGATGTATGTACATTTTTTTCATATGCTTAATTTAATGTCTGAATAATTTATCTTTCCTTACTGCCTTCTAAATGCCACCCGGTATTTATCAAATTTCCATAAGTGTGAGGCTGTATCTCTCATCCCTCTGTTCTTCTCCCCTGGACTAACTTCTTTCCCTGAATCAAAGCTACAATTACTCAATTATCGTCATTGTGTGTTAAGCCCTAATAGTCAATGTGGAAATTCCTCACACCTTGTTCTTCAAAATTGTATTGACAAGTTTTGACTGTTTCTTCTTGCAGACATTTTAGAATTAATTTTTCAAGTTCTATGAAAAACTACGGTGGGCTTTTAATAATTAAATTTTATAGGTTAATTTACAATATTGAGTCTTCCATCCAGGAATAAGTATATCTGTTAATTTGTTTGAGTTTATTCTTTAATTTTAATGGATAAATTAACCCTGGGTCAAAAGTGACTGCTCAAAGTCACATAGCCAATTAATAGGAAAACCAGTGGTAGAAGGAAGATCTCTTGTCTCCTTAATAGCTTGTAAACTAAAAAGGTTTAATTATTTAGTCAGTTAAGAAAGAAGATCTTGGAGTCCTTGTAGCTACTGCACCCACCAGCAGGAACTTGGCCCATGATAATTAAAGTGTGGTCAGAGGTCTTGGTAGAAATGCAGAATTTCATCCCTTCCTTGGCCACCCTGAATCAGAATCCTCATTTTTAAAAGATTCCTGGGTTATTGGTAGGCACCAGAAAGTTTATGAAATATTGCTTACCAAACGGAAGCCTGAAATTCATTGCATTGATTCTTTTTCTCTGAAACCTGCCAAAAATGCTGGTAGTAGTCCTGAGGTCATTGAATTGCAAAGGATTCAGGTGAGCAACATTGAGGCCTGTGTAATGATCCTTGGGTCTTGCTCTTCAATCACTGGCTCACAGCAGCCATCATCTGCTCTGCTGACTGAACATCAAAAATACAAAACGAGAATAGATGTTTAAATAAACAAACAAACAAACAAACAAATAAAATTCCTTTAAAGAGAAGGACATGTTAAGTTTTTTTCTAAAAGCAGTAGAACTCAGGAATACTGAGGCTTCTTTTGGTATCTGTAGTTATTTAGGAAACAGATACATTTGCTTTGAAATTACTAGCTGCCCCAAATTGGCATTTAAGCTACTCAATGCCATTAGGGAAAATTCTGCAGGAAAAAAAGTTGAAATACTGAGGAGACAGAAGCACTGAAGATTCAGTCTTTAAAGTAAAACAAAGAAGAAAGATCAGACGATTTTTTGAAATAGTCATATAATATTCATCTTAATCTCTATTCAGCCCTCCTCTTGTTTAACTACGTTAGCAGCCAGTTATCTAAAGGAGAGGGGGGAGGGAAAAAAAAAGGAGAAGAAGGAAAAAGGTGAGGAGAGGGGATTTAAAAAAATAAAAAGTGAGATCCCTGTAATAACACCTCGAGCCACTAGGGGTATCTTTGTACCATTTTTCATCCTGCACCGATTTGGAGTAGAAACCTATATTAGGGGAAAACCAGGGTCCTCGGCATTTTTTTGCGAGCAGTGCACCCAGAATCCAAAAAGATTTTTTTTTAAAGAAGAAAGAAAAAGAAAGAATCCACAATTCTTTTGGTCACCCGAACAGGGCTACGAAATCGCTCTACTGGACATCAGCACCAGGGATTCATTTTTGAGGTCAATTTCCAATCGAGATAAATCTATTGGATTAGTAGGATTATCTGATTGCAGCTGAAAGTAACGTTGTTTGATCATTTGTATTTCTTGCCTGATGGTCGGATTTACATGGAGGTGGCTTTGGGTCCCAAAGATTCCGGATCGTGGTTGCATCTGGAGAGAAAAAAGGATCAATCGACACGTTTTGGAAGTGTCCGTGGGTGAATAAAAAAAAAAAAAGGGAAAGAAAGAAAGGGGGGAGCACAAAACTGGGGTTGCGGCTGCTTAAAGAAGGAAAATAAAATAAAGGAGGCATCTTGGAATCTGAAGCAAGAATTGCTGGGTGCTCGACATTCCGAAAAAAAAAAAGCGTCTAGGAACTGGTAAATACTTTGAGCAATTCAGCTTGCATTTGACGGCGAAGTGCTGTAGAAACTGTCTCCTTCAATTATTGGAAGGGGACCTGGGGAAGATGAGGGGCTCCCTCTGTGGATTTATCTTACTGAGGGTAAGTTTGGGGGTCTTTTATTGGGAAGGGGCTGCCTGTTGTGCCGCTGCGCGGAAGGTGCTGCGGCCGCGGTGCCTGTGAAATGGGAAGAGAAGGGGGGATGTAAACCACCTCGCGCATCTCTGGTGGATCGCTAGGGAGCTAGCTAGATCGAGCTTAAAAACCTTCTTTTGTGGCGTCGGTGGGGAAGCCAAGCAACCCTCTAAGCTCTCAACTTTGCATTGAAAATCTCTCAGCTGGGAGATTCCTCTTGGATCCAGTGCTTTCTCCTGGTGCTACTTTGAGAGGAGGCAGCGATGCCTTGGGAAACCTGCATGTGGAGGGGGACAGCCCAAGCAGAAGCCGCTGCCGCCTCGGCGGCGGGTTTTGCTGGCTGTCTTGGCTTCTGGGGGAATTTTGCAGCGGAAATTGGCCGTTTTCGTATTGTCTCTTTCTCTCTCCCTCCTTCTTCCTTCCCCTTCCCGCCTCCCTCTTCTCTCAGCCGAACACTAAAGGGTTACAGGGTCACTGCATCGGATAGAGACAGTAGAAGTGGGTGACCGGCCACACATGTTGTCTTGTAATTCGCTTGCACGACTTTGCATAATACAGTCCGAGGTAACTTTTTTCGAGTTGGACGAGTCCAGGAAGTCATTGCAGCCTTTCTGCCGAGGGTCCAGGCTGGCAAGTGCGCCAGGCAGCCGGCTGCATTTCGGATGCATCCCTACCCTAGCTGCTTCCCTATTTACTGGCTTTTCTTTCCAACTGAGCGGTGCGCGCGTTCCCAGACATCTTCTTGCGGCTGAATTCAGGGGTTTTTGTTTGTTTGTTTGTGTTTGGTTTGGTTTTGTTTTGTTTTTTTAATGTTGTTTCGCAGCTCTCAAGAAAAGCTCATCTTTATTTGCAGAAGGAAAATCAATTTCATCAGCTATAATTAAAATTAATCACCCAAATGAGTGAATATTAATTGACTTAGGAAACTAAAAGTTGCTTTGGAATCCAGAAAAGCATATTATTCTGAACCAATTTTGGAGCCCACATAAGTTCAGAACAATTACATATTAAGGACTCATTTATTTAAAATATGCATAGAGATATGCTAAATAAATTAATGCACTCCCTTCCCTTTATAAGCTTATACGTCAGCTCCATAATTTTAGTTGACTTTTCCTATTTAAGGCCAGTTCGTTAAATTTTAAACCTCAGACACTAAACTGCATTAGAATAAAATGGAGCTAAATAAGTGGTAAGATACAAAATAATGTATTTACTACATTTTAATTTTTTAAAGAAAAGCATTAAATATTTTTCAGTGGTTTCTGTTTACAGATTTTGAAATGTATGTAGATATTTCTGTGGTTTTAGCACTGAAGTCTTTTTATTAAGTATGAACTAATTGAAAGGCAGCTCTTGAATGTCATCTAAAGCACTCATCATCCCAGTGCTCATTTCAGGAATTCCAGATACATCAGACATTCTGGTGTTAAAGAGGAGCTTCCCCAAACTTTCTTCCTAGATTTGTGTGTGTATATATGGTTCTTGAATCTGAATTCTGAAACAAGCACAATGCCGTTTCTTTTTCTTTTCTGAGATTAAATAGCAAAATATGAAACTCTTGTCTCCCAAGAATTCTCTAGTGGAACAGTTGTTTCGTATTTCTTCAGACTTGTGGAAGCTTGTCTAAAGACGATAAAAACAGTAAGAAATTGTTTCTACAAGCCCAACTGTTAGGAACTATCTGAGAGACTAGGTTTGCCACCACCTTCTCCTTCTTCTTCTTCAGCACAGCTCTAAGTCATGTGGTTCATGTGCAACTTGAACTAGAAAAATGGATGTTCTGTGTATTGGCACATTCTAGCCACTGATCCTAGCCACATAATCCAATAATATTTAACATCTTTTTTTGTAGTTTAAATTTTAAAAAGACAGCTAGCACATAAAGTACTAGATGATAATAGCAAATAAATAATAAAAGGTGAATGGGAGATGGGCTGGAATTCCTCTTTTTAGGCTAGTAGAGAATATAATGTTGATACTATAAAAGTACATGGAGAATATGAAATATGAAAAAGGAAGTTGTTTTAAAAGTTAACCTGAATATTTCACAACCACTGACCCAGTGGTCCTGGCATGTGCCAGGGTGCTAAAGCAGAAGAGGCAGCTTAAGTGCCTTTGTCATGGCTGAACAATATTTTTCTCTGTCAAGAATAATCAATACTTTCTAGTCCCTCATTCCATTTTCTTTTGGCAGTGAAATGGAAAGGGGGAAACTTTGGCCTACTCTATGGTTTCTACAGGCAGTTCCTACATAAAACTTTGGTAAACTTTGTAGGTGGTAGATCCACTTTAGAAGGTTGATAATGATTGAAATAAAAATAAAGAAAACTCCACACTACAAAAAAAATTTGAAGCTGTAGCCAGTAAATGAAGGGCAAGTTACCCAGTTACATAAATATTCTCTACTAATTTAGTGGAAGACTCTTAAGAACTACTGAAAAACCTAAAGAGTTCACTTAGAAAATTAATTACATTTGCTCTACCTTATCCAGATACATATTTTTTGTCATGATTTTTAAAAAGAACATGGTATCCTTGATCAGCTGTTCCAATTTTGCTACATAATAACACAAAATTTGGTAGTTTGGGGTAAAGGAATGGAAATCCTCAGTTAGCCCTGAAAGTTGTAAGCACAGTGCCTAATGTGTGTGACAAGAAGTAGCACTGGGTTCCCTAAAGCTCATCGCCATGGAAAAACTGATGTTGCATTCACTAGAGCTTTGCTGCGCCTGTCCCTTGAAAGCCTAACATTCAGGGGGAGCTAATACATTTGTAGCAGATTCTTTCTATGATTTGAAGACATTTAAATAGAGTTAAATGTTATTCTACATTAACCGATTTTTTAAAAAGGAAATTACCTCACACTCTTAATTGAAAGCAAAATGAAAAGGGCAATCCATCTTTAATGATTTGTTGAAATTTAACACATGGTATTCCCAAATGCAAATCTTCCATCCCTTTTGCTTTATTTATAGAAATTTATAGAAATACAAAAAAACCCTTAAAACTTTTAAAGTTTTAATTTTTAATATTTTCAATTTGCAAAGCCGAGAAAAAAATTTTTAAGAAAATTAACATAGAACACTCATGATGAATCTAGGGTGTCCTCTTTAATGCCTTTAAAAGGTAATTTAAAACATTTTGAGGTAGCTAACCTCTTAATCTTGTGGGATAGCAACATTCTCAGTTGTTCCTAAGAAGAATAACTCCTTAATAGTAACAGGTTTGATTATTTTTGCTTTGTTATTAATGGCATCACATTGACAATGTCAAATATTGCTATGCTGCTATAAAAGGATATGAATTATTTCTGCCTTGAATATCCCCCCCCCCAAAAAAAAAACCCCACCTGTTTGGTAGCAAGCGTGTGCCAACTTGAAGCTTAACTGAAGTCAGGGAAAAATAGTAAATCACTCCAGGCATTTGAAATTATTAGACATTAAACTTTTGGGGGATTTTATATGAATTCTTTTTATAACAGTCAATATAATCTCTTCTGTGCCTATTTCCGTTGCATGTAAGAGAAATTCTAGTCAATGGCAAAACGCTTTACTGCTGCCATTACTGCAGACTTTATAGATCAGAGATGTGTCAGCATGTTAGCTTTAGCAGTAATGCCTCTTTTGTGTGAAACCTTATGGGCCTTGCAAGTGCTCTCTCATCCTGACACTCATAAAACGTTCAATCCCCATATTTATTATTTAATATTCTCCCTATATATAGCAGCAGAACACTTCAATATATGAATGTGTAGCCAAAAAATAATGGGCGTGAATGGGACTAATGAGTTTTAATAAATACACTTATTAGGGTCAGCTAAAGGAAGTTTAATTAAGACAAACAAGTTGAGCATGAAATTCATTTTGGAACAAATGCAAGTTAAGTTATCGCTACAGATGTAAAATAAAAAAAAACCACAGGGATGCATCTCGGGAAAAAAGTTCCAGGCTGAGATTAGACCTACTTAATGCAGTTGACCTCTTAGGACCTGCCTTTAACTTGATGAGCTCGGGTCTGACTTATGAAGTTGGAGAATATATTCTACTTTTTCACAATGTTTTTACTTTTCTGTAGCAATTTTGGCTTAGTATGTTAACTTTGTATCCAGGCATGCTTTTTGTATTAGTTTCCTTGAGACAGGACTTTCATTTTCCTGTGGTCTACGCATATACCTGCAGTTAGAGCTACCTGCTAAAAACCACGCCATCCTTTTGTGCTGTGAGTGGTGCTTCAGTAAGAGAACTGCTGATATGGCAATTACCTGCACTCATAATTCTGTTTAATCTTTGGCATAATTTAGAAAAGCTATTTATCTGTTGGCTTGCTTATTTATTTATTTGGTAGTAGCATTGTATATTGGGGCAGAAGTTGGAGAAGAGATAGGGTATAGGGCAAATATTTCCTTAGAATGTGGTTTTCTTAGATTTTGTCTGTATTTAAGTAACATAGGTACATTCTGGAAAGTGTGAAGAAGTCAGGCAATAAAATGAAGGTCTTACATATGCTCCTCAACAACTGCCTTTTGGGAAACATCTGATTGATGTACTAATTTATTCCTTATATAGGCCTTTGGCATCACTTCTGTGTAACAGTAGTTTTTTCTTCCTTGAAACACCCAATGAATGTTGAGTCTTCAGAAAAAAAGAGATTAGTTGTAACATTTCAAAGTGAATTGAAAATCTTGTTGTCTTTTTAAAATAATCATGGTGAAGACTTACATATTGTCATATAGAATGCTCACCATGTTTGGAAATTCAACATGGTCACACATTAAATCAGTGAATACTGAATTGATAAAAATTAGCTTGGAATTATCACTAGCTTAAGTTTTTCTCATAGGGCAACCATTCCTCTTATGACAGAACTGACCAGGAAAACAGTGATTACTATGTATCACATTGACCAACATTTGTCACAATATTCACACCTGAAAATAACACTT